CTCTCTCTCTCTCTCTCTCTCTCTCTCTCTCTCTCTCTCTCTCTCTCTCTCTCTCTCTCTCTCTCTCTCTCTCACCATCTTCGCACGTGCCCTCTTCACGTGCGTCACAATCGTCGCCCCTCACAGTTTCAAGTAGGCAACTTAGTCTGGGTCAAGTCAAAAGAGTTTGCTCCTGAGGAGAACATCTCACAGAAGTTGTTACCCGCGTATAGAAGACCGTGGCCAGTCCTAGAAGTCAAGGGCGGAGAGGATGGACCGTCCTATACTATTGAGATTCCGGCACACCTCCACACCTACCTAGTGTTCCATGCGTCAAAGTTGTTGCCTTGCGTTACAAGTCAACAGTTTCCATCACGCAGATCTATGATTCCTACAGATATGGATGGAAGATATGACATTGAAGGGATAGTAGGTGAGGATGTCTTCAGGACAGGAGGTAGAGGTCGTCCCCAGAAACAATATAAAGTCAGATTTGCCTATCAAGAGCCAGAAGACGACCGCTGGTTCACTCGAACAGAACTTCTAGAGACAGCTCCCGATATAGTCCGAGCTTACGAAAGAGATAAGAAGGGTAAAGGTCCTGCCTTAGACTGAAGTATTCTTGGAGGACCTCGAATTTAGGCCGGTGGAGCTAAAACGGTTTTCACCTTTCTGCAGTCACAGATGCGGGCCCTAGAGTTCGATCCCCAGACCTCACTTTGCCCATGTACAGTATCAAGTCGACACCCGAGTGTCTGTACCCGTGACCGGTGTTTTGGTAGTTGTTTGTCGTCTGTTGCAGGTCTGTGTAGTGGTAGGGGTTCGATCTGTAGGTCTGTCGATTAGGAGTCACAGCTTTGTAGAGGTCGTAGCTGTAGGTATTTTGAAAGGTCGAGGTCGTAGCTGCTACAGTCCTGAAAGGTCAAGGTCGTAGCTGCTACAGTACCCGAAAGGCCAAGTCCACAGACATCCGGAAGGTGGCCTTTCGAAGTGTCTCACGTTTAGTCAGAAGCAAGTGGGCAACTGGTGAGCCCAACTGCTTTACGTCGGTAGTGCGACTGCATCAAGTTGGCAGTGCAAACCCATGCAGTCAGCGGTACCGGTCCCAGTCAGTCAGAGTCCAGTCAAGCAAGTACCATGTGGGACTGTGTGCACCAAGGGCCTGGGAAAGGGGCAGACCAACGAGCTACAGAAGTATAAATCAAGAGGCAGCGCCCAGCCATTCATTCATTCGCTGAGTAAGCCATGCGGAAGCGCTGCTACAGCGTCTTGTGCGAAGGTGGTCTGCAGGTTGCCCGAAGACGAAGTGGGCTGAAGAGAGACAACGTGGTCATAATTAAGTAGAGCGGCCATAGCCGCCGTAGTGTTAGAGGTTAGTGAGCGTGTAGAAGTGAGTGTGCGTGGGTGTATTCAGGGTGATCCAGAGTTGAGTGCGGGTGAACGGTGGTGTTGAACACAGTGACGAGAGTTGTGATGTACAGGCGCTGATGCGCCATAGTCTGTTGAAGCGAGTTTACATCTGAACTGTGTTCTTGGTTGCCATATCTCTGAGCTTGGTGTGGGCGCTGCGTGCCAGTGTGAAACGCCATCTGTTTGCATGTATGTGAAGTGGAAGTGAACGCGAGTCTGATTG